GGGGGGGGGGGGGGGGGACATTTTTTTCTAACGAAGGTAAAAAGTCTCTTCATTATGCTACAGACTGCAGTAGCAGCTTGTACAGTAAAGTTTAGAAGTTTAGCAAAGTACTAAACACTGAAAAAAACCCATCTTCCAAAGGAGCTACTTACTCAACCTTCCTTTGTCGGACTTTCCCATAATACACCATATGAGCATCACAGTAGCGCTCTGTGAACTGCCAAAATGTGCCAAATTTTCCAGGACAAATGGCATCAATTTGAGGAAACAGCTACAGAAACAGAAAAAGTGTGTGTTTAGTCAACAATAGATGTTAAACTCAAAACCAAAAAAAAAAATAAAAAAATAAATAAAATTACATACCTCTCTAAAGTCTAAATATCACAAAATGTGGTAGATATATGTATATGAAACCTTTCAAACATTATCCTTAAAACATATGCGATTTGTAGAAACCTCAGAAAACCATAATAAACCACAATAAATGGCAAGCTGGCTAAGAGGTCAGAAACAATGCCGGAGATTCTATAGTGGCAGTAAAAGGGTGTTTAGATCATACAAGATTGCACCCAAAAAGACAGTCATTACCACAAACAAAAAAGATTTATCCTAACAAATTATACTAGATGCTATAAATCTGGAATTTTCCTCATTTCTGAAATACAGGTGACTTTCAGAAAAGTGATACCCCTATCAATCTCCTCACCACGTAAGCAAAGGAATAATACAGACACACAGCAACCATTTTTGTTTATCCCCAGCCACGACAATAAAATGGACACCATCAGGCTAACACAGTCAGCCTTTCCCATTCACTCTCTTAATTTTGTAACTTACTACAGATTTGCAGTTATTGATGAAGTAGCAGTCTCATCCAAAAGCCGTATTGCAAACTATGGTTGAAGTAAAGCTACACCCCCTCTCCCTTTCACATACAGCAATAACAACTGTTCCCATAAGATGCAGCGGCAACCCCACTGTGACCCAGTATCTGCCCACTAAGTCAAGTAAGTTGGAAAGGGAAAAACCGGGGGGGGGGGGGACTATACTTTACTTCTACCCATGTTTTTGGTACCTGCCTTCATGCACACACATACTGACCTCCACCGGCCTGGCCAGAGCTGGCGTGCCAGACAGTAAAATTCTCCTCTTGGCCGCCTTGATCAAGGGGACGACAGTCTTGTAAGACAGTGTCTTTGTATTTCTAAGACAATGCGACTCATCACAAATAATGACCTTGAACTTGCGAGCGGTAACGGCCTCTCTGAGGACTGTGCTCGACGGGTGTCGAAGCAGGCCATAGGTTATTATGGTGATCAAGGAGTCAGCTATGCCACTGAAAAGAACAGGCACAACTGTTCGTACAATTCAGTTGTTGTCTATAAAGAGACACAACAAAAAAAGACCACATTCCGTTTAGAACAGATTAAAGTATCAGTAACCCTGAAAAGAGGTAAAATGAGCAGACACATATCTATGATGAAAAGATTAAGTTCATTACCATGGGTGCAAAAACATATATGACTAATTCCTACAATGAGAAAGTATATATATTATAATCCGGTATCTCTCTGTCCCTCTGCTGAGATGCATCCCACACCGCTTGGGTTGGCTCTGACCGGAAGGGTCCAAACAGCCCATTTCCTTTACAATCTAAATTGAGTTAATGGAAGATAAAACACATGCAGTGAAACTCAGATACAATGAACTCAGATTCAATGAAGGGAAACAGATTTCCTGCTAATATTACATGTTAAAACCAACAAAATAACTCGGATTCAATTAACCCACAAATGTGCAAACTTTGCTCATTTTTCTCCGGCAATAAACCCTATCTAATCTATTCCAAGAGACCATCAATCATATATGCACAGTGGATCATTGCATGCTTGGCCTAACTGTTGCATACATCTTAAATCCGACCAATCAGAAGCTCCCTGTCATACCAACATGTGCATTGTGACATGCCTGTGCTGCATGACGTGTGTTAGCGTGTGTCAGGGTCGAGGGAGATTAGACAGGGGGCAAGCACACATGACGCTGTTGGTGCATGTGCCTGAAGGGATAGGGAGAAGGACGTAGGCAGAGATACAGATGCCTCACAGTCATTACCCCCCCCCCTCCCCCCAATGAAAGGCAAGCTTAGAAAAAGGTCTAGATCTACGAAATGAATTGCCTGCTGGCCTGTGGAAATAAATGTTGCTGAATGGTAGGCCCTTCATTGTAATGCAAGTTGCTACACTCACATTGCAATAACAAACACTCGGATTCAATTAAATTAAAGGTCAGGCATGACGACTTCGTTATATATCTGAGTTTCACTGTACAACTATTTACAGAAAAAGAAGGAGAGGATTACTACAGATCTCTAATCATTCATCTCAGGAAAACAAGTTAAGAATCTTGGCATCTATTCTGATTCCAGTTTGTCAATGTCAGCTGAGGTAAATCATCTGATCAGCTGCATGTATTAGAAATAAGAAAAATTAGTTAGATACGTCATCTTATCAATACTAAGTATACTGCTTTACTAGTAACTAGCTTAATTTTATCAAGACTCGATTATTGTAACCCATTGTTATCAGGAATATCACTGGAGAAAGTTAAAAGACTTAAAACTGTCCAAAACAATGCTGCATGTTTAGTTTAACGGAAAAGAAAGCCAGACTCTACTTAACGTCGTTTACAGACATTGCATAGGCTTCCTGTTGAGAAAAGAATTGTGTACAAGTTGGCCACCGAATGTCACAAATGCTTGAATGATAATGCACCATACCATCATATTTATCAAATCTGTTAAGACTGTACATTCCAATTCGCAGATTAAGGTCATCAGCTAACAGAAAGAAATTTCTTTTACCATCTATGAAACTTAAAACAATGGGTGAAAGGGCATTTGAATATCAAGGCCCCAAGATCTGGAATGCTTTGCCAATTAGTACTTTGCGAGATCAAATCTTTTGATTCGTTCAAACATGTCAGCTAAAGCCATTCCTGTTTTTAAATTAAAAAGATGAATATTTGGAGTGATTTTCTTTCAGTCAGACCACGTTTTATGTTACTGTTGTACATTGCATTGTATATTGTAAAGCACTCAGAGCCTGTGTACTTTAATCGGGGTTGAACGTTACATAAATATGTCATTTATTATTGTTATAATTATTATGTCCTTATTTCATCAACATGACTATAGAACATCTCAAAGAACCCACAAAGCTCATCTCTAAATGGAGCTGGTCTCAGATGACATTGTATCTTCGCGTAACACTGTAAGCAATTTTAGACTGGGACGGAAAAAACACCCTTTCAAACCAATTTTTTCTGAAAGGTAAAGGAAGGTAATAAAGATTGATCATTTCTTTTGTCTAAATCAGTGAAAAACAGAAAATGTTCAATAACTATTCTGAATGATTATATGGTTTGCACCTCATAAGACATGCCTTTAAAGTTTCATAAAAACTCCACAAGCACATAGTTCTTTACAGTGGTCACCACTACTACTATTAGTTGAACGTACAGTACAATGTATAAAATAGTGGAACATAATAAATTGTCCTGCAGGAAACAAAACTATCAAAGTTTCAGGAAAATGAACAGTTGAAAGACAAACAGACCTGGCATCTGTTCCTGTGTGAACAAGGTTAATGTCCTTTGGCAGAATATCCGGCATCCATTTTTCCAGCTCCTCAATCCAGCAAAACTTGAGAGAAGACGGCACGATAATGAGCACTGGCCATTCGCTTCTGTACATCAGCGCCACAGATATTGCCTGCAGAGTCTTCCCCAAACCCATCTAGAAACAGACAAAATTGGCATTATTAATAATAATAATAATACTACAGATAGCATTTGTATCCCCGCCCAACAGCAAGTTCTATGCGCTTTACAATCTATATCATTACTCCAGCAGACCTGATAGCATTCTGAAACAAACATACTGACAAGATCTTTTGCTGTCTACGGCCGGATACCCATTCACACCTGGGTGAAGTGAAGAAAATTTGTGGGAACTGCATTTCCCAGGGACACAATGCTGCGCCTGAGGCTCAAGCCTCCGAACCCACAACCTCATGACTACGAGTCTGGTAGCCTCACCACTAGACTATTGATGCCATTAGAACAGGAATGAGCAGCTAAAATCTCTGTATAAAATCCTTTCATCTGAAGCAGGGTACAGAACCTTTTACCTTTATACATCTGCAAATGTCAGCATTCTAGATGGCAAACTTTTCATATTCCCAGCTTGAAAATTATAAAGCCATGATCCCTCATCATACAAAAAAGGAGCAGGACAGGGACAGAGTAATGACGGAAATAGAATGTTGTGGAGGGCCTTTTGAAAAATGTTGAATAGTACCAACGACTACCACAATGTGTAGCAAAGAACATTACATATATCTACAGAATAACATCTTCCAACAAAACCATAATACTATCTTAAACTGCTTGATGGTTCCATACGAAATTCAAGAAGAATTGTACAAAATTAGAACAAGAGAAAATAAGCAATATAACAATACGATGCTGTGGCATAGTCGACTAATTACTAAGGAGCTAGTCTCAGAGTTCTACTAGCCTAACAGTATATTAGCACATTATAAAATAAATTAGTAAACTAAAACAGATTATAAAAAAACATTCTGGACATTCCCTTAATTTATATGATACTAAAGAATATGTCATTCAATCATGATACTTTTCTGAAGGTTGCTCTATCTAACATTAGTGGTTGTCTTAAGTGGACATCTTGGACAAAAAAATATTTAAAAAACTGTATTTCTATCAATAAAATAAGGAAAAAGTTTGAAATGGTATAACCAGAGAGCTGAAGATAAAAACGCATTTAAAAAAGAAATAAGGAAAATGGTTGAAATCAAATATCAAGTCTAAAACTGGTCAGAGCAGTGGCTAGACTAATATCTCATTCTCTCCATTTTTCTCCCAGTCTGAGAATATTGGGTATTTCGTCCCATTAGCTAATTTTCATCCATTTCACATAATAAAAAAAAAATAAAAAAAGAGGAGGCTACTGATTGAAAGTAACATCTGAATAAATTCTATATCTCTAGTGACTTACCTCATCGGCAAGAAGAAACCTGGTGAAAAAAATTGAAATTACAAACATGGGTCTCAACTCAGAATTTTAAAACAGGAGGAACTTTCAGGGCGATCGCGACAGAAGACCATTTTCACAATACACCCATTATTATTATACTGCTTAAACCTAGAATGCTGAAATAAAAATCATCAATATATCAAAGCAAGGTTATGTCATACCTATTTGAGGGTTTGGAAGATAATATCAAGTAAAAGAATCACTTACCAAATATTTATAATCTTGATTTTATAGGTACAGAAAGTGGTAGAACATAACTGGGAATGGGAAGTGCCCCTCCCAGCAACTCTCTTTGCCGGTGACTGTTCCTCAACAGTTTAGCAGAGGAAATGGCAGTAGTGGAAATCCGCTAAATGGCGGAATATTGAGGCCCATGAACAAAACAAGACAGTAGAAATAATCGATCGCGATTATCTTGGAAAAAAAATCCACCAGGGTGCTTTCATCTGTTTCTGTGACCGACACAAAGTACCAAAATAGATGGCATCATACCAAATGAGTCGCAGCTTTGAACAATCTTGTAAAACATTATTATAATGTCTCTCAATGTCCTTTCAAGAGTATAGTGTGATTCAAGAACACAGTACGAGCATCATGTACACACAGTTTCAAGTTCAAATGAAAGGAATGAATATGAACACAACATGGGGGCTCTCGTGGTCGAGAGGTTACGGTGTTCGCTTCTCATTCAATAGGTTCAGCAACGGAAAATTTTCTTTAAAAATGTGCTCCTTTCACCTTCTTTCCTGCTCTCGAACAATGTTCTGTCGTCTGCTTTCATCTCCACTTTCTTCCCCCACCCCGTCACCTCCTTTACCCGATTTTCTGGCCCTCTGACTCTTTCTGCAATATTTAAAACTGTTTCTCTTTCACTTTGGCTCCCTCTAACTGCTGCTGTCTTTCAGCCTCACCCCTGATCTCAGGACATACAAGATCTTTTATAAGAGCAAAAAATCTCAAAAGTCTCGCATGCAGGTTGTGCACATTAAAGATCCTTTGGAGGTCCAAAATCCATCTATAATATGAGTAGGCTTCGGCTACCACTCTGGCAAAATTCTAAATTTCAGGCTACCAACTGAAAATATTTAATGTGTCCCGCACGCTCAGATGACCTTGTCTAAATAAATGCGGTTGCGAGCGTCATAAAATACAACTTACTAAAAAAAACAACAACACGTGTGTGTAGCCAACGCTAATCTTAACAACTGATTCTTCACTGCGAATGTGATGTAAATCACCTTTAGCCTACTGTTACGCCATAGGGTGGCAGATCATCTCTATGGCTAAGCTATTTTGACCAAATCCTCCAAATTTCTAGGTCATGATTGGGTTCAGTTTGATAAAATCGTGGCGGCTGCAACAGCCAATGAAATGAATCAGAAGGCTACATAATAACAACTATTCTGTTATTATGCTAGCGGGGTCAGATCTTACGACTTGTTCGCATGTGGAAAGTAGCAGGCTCTTTTTTTTTAGACTACTACTACTACTACTTAGTCTAGTAGTATGGTGCCATGGATTTCCTGGTTTAAAAAGTAAGTAAAGCACGTTGATATATAACATTGATGTGCAATGCAATAGCTGGTGCCACTGTGTGATCAGATTGTACCTCTGATCTGACCTTAACTGATCATGAATGCATGCTGAATCACAAAAATAAATTATAACCACCTGAAAAGGGCATCTGTTCTACACTTGTAATTTACTCTACACATTAGCCTACATTGTATCATAGTAATAGTAGGCCTAGATCTAATCTAAACTTTCAGCTGGGGCTGAATTTAACAAAATCTGACAACTCACGACACTTACTTTCCTTCCTTCTGTACAGCAAATTGAACCCCTCTCTTTTGAAAAGGTAGAAGTCTTTTGAAAAGCTTAGTAGGTAGCTTTTTCAGGATAGGGCAGTCTGCATAACAATCCTTTTCCCCTTGCTCTTGCACTTGAGGTTGAGATAATGGTGGGGGATCAGGTTCCAGAAGTTGATCTTCCACATTATCATCATTATTATGATGAACAGGGCCACATGATGAAGGGTCCATTGCTTTCTTCATGCTGAGAATTATTTTGCAATCTTCATTGAGTGACACTGGATTAGAATCTAGATTATCTCTAAGGTTTACAAACTTTGCAGTGGCTACGTTCACAGCGCCCTGAATGCAATTTTGCAGGTGCTATTGAGGCTACGTTCACGGCACTCAAGCTTCATTTAGACGGAGCGTCCACTGCCGGTTTAAGTAAGCTGGTTTTAGTCATTGACGACAGTGACGTATATTTAATACTTTGGCCTGCTTTAAGCGTTCCATCCCATGAGATGAAGGAAAACGAAGCAGTGATCCTTAACCGACCAACCATTCGTCGTTTTCCCTTACACTGAGCTCTGGCTCAGAGCTCGCCAGTGTAAGGGAAAACGATAAACTCTCAATTACCCAACAACGCATTAGGATATGACAAAAATGTACACGCCTAACAAGATGTTTCAATTGCCCTATCTCGCGTCCGAGTGAGACTTGGGCACGACCTTGTGTTAGCGCGTGACGGCCCGTGATATACGAGTGTAAACAAACGTTCTAGCGCTCTCGAGTTGAAAGAGTACAATTTTGTCTGCGGACTGTGTGTGTGTGTGTGTGAGAGAGAGAGACAGAAAGAGAGAAAGAGAGAGGGAGAGAGAGGTGGGGGAGAGAAAGACAGACAGAGACAGAGAAAAATAGAGAGAGG